GATTATGCTCGCTAGACCTGTACATCGATTTTTGTAGGATTTTTTATTGATTTCGATTAGATTTTGTTACCGATTTTTGAGTTGTTCGATTGATGATTAACGGCAGATTCACTATTGTGTTTTAATAAAGGAGTAATTTATATAAACCCTTTTTAGATTTTTTTGTTATTTCTTTCTATTTTCTCATACATATGTTAAGACCCTGATAAAAAAATATTCTTCCCAATGATACATTGACTTCAGAAATGCATATATATTTTTAAATTCTTTTTATTTCTACAATTGATTAATTTCCAAGCGGCGCCGAAAATAATAATAATAATAATAATAATAGTCATATTGTTTTAGAGGATGATTTTTGTGGGATATATCTTTGAATAAATTCCACCGATTATTCATTTTCTGTGAATACCGAATTTTTGTAGCAGAAAAAATCGAGGGAATCCATTAATATTAATAATTATCGAGAGAATCTCTTCAAAGTCATAACTAACATCGCCATCCTCTGGAGCAGTATGATTTTGATTATTAACACCTAGTAAAAGTCATCTGAAGAAATAATAATTTTATGAAAATACATTTTTCTCTCACGTCAATGAATCTTTGCCGAGAATAATTTTTTTTTCTCAGTACGGAATATTTAAAGATCACTTTCACATACATGTGCTCCGAAAATGTTAATAGAACTTAAACCAGAAAAAATAACTTGCCCCCTCCCCCTCCCTCTCCACCCGGCCAGCCAAACTTTTCAGATCAGAATTCTAAGAGGAAAGTGAAAATTTATTTTTACATTTTCATATTTTCCTATTCTGTAACAATTGTAATGCGGCAAATGTATCAGTTTCGCCTTTGATTCACATGACATGAATAATATAAATGATATAAATATACAATGAAAAAAAATCGATGTTTAAGTCCACAAACTGGTCTAGAATGTCCCTGGGGGGAAAAGTGACTTTTCATCATAATTGGATTTTTTCACCTGTAATCAGGTCATTCGCAAGTTAAAAAAAATGTAATGGATTATAAACGTATGTTCCACGCACAGTGGGCGATGTCTTTCGTAATTTTGTTGAAATTCATGTAAAACTCAATTCTCTAACGAGAAATCATTACCTCCCTCGGTCTACGTGATATATTCCACATTCCTCCAATAATTATCTCCATAATCCACATCGTCGGTTCTCCGGCAATGACAGTCGTGTTTCATAGTCCTCACCCTGGCCGTTTTTATTATCTCAAAAAATACATTAGGTATTTCTTCATATGGGGAATAAATGCCTGAACTCCACTCACCGGATCCCCGCCTGTCACTGAAGCCGAAGGCAAATAGAAGTAATTCCACGGTGTTGTTCATGTTATCTGAGACAGGATTAGTTACCCCCGTGCAATTTTCATGGTCATCAAAAATATCCGCTGGATTAACTTCATCTCGACGAGAGAAATCAGTTGAAAAGGACTCCAGGGACCAATCGAGACCAGCAATAATTTCTTTAATCATCTCCACCGACTCCATCTTCATCACTTGCTTATTTTCTTCCCTTATAATCTCCCCTTCACACCCTTCGTCATTCGAGAATCGACTCGAGTATTTGCGTAATTTTTCCATGTCCATCTTCACTCTCTGCCGATCCTCCCACAACGTCTTCTTGTTATACGCCTTCAGGGCCTCCATTTCCACCCTATCAGCTCCTTTTCCTCTCGCCTTCAATCCCTGAATCGATTTCTTTCGATTACTCACAGTCCCGGTGATTATCATTCCATCTAGGATCCAACTTCTGCTCGATCCCAGATCATTGCTGAGTTTTGATGACTGGCAATCGTAGGACTGATTGTAGTACTGAAGAGTGGACTCGAAGGAGGATCCGATGATCTCCAGTCGCCTCCTCCACTGAGTCGAGTCAATTTTTATCGATATCTTCGATGTCTTCGGCACTTGACCCACAGGATTCTTGATAATTGTCGTGCAGGAGTCCTCGGCACCAGTGTCTTCCCCAGAAGACCATCTGGAAGACTCCTCGTCGTTGTATTGATCCAGGAGGTTTGTGTAGTTGCTCAGAACGAATTTATTATTCATCTTTTTAAAAAGCCAGTCATGATGTAGAAAAGATGATTGCGGAGGCGTAATTGGCTCTGAGTACCGATCCATGACCTCTTCTTGGTCATCCTGCATTGAACAATCACATGATGACGTTGAACCTTCGGTAATTGACTCACGAGAGTTTCCCACGTGATGCTGCGCTTTTTCTGTGACGGAGAAATCGATTTCTCTTTTGTCGATTAAAATTTTTGATAACGATTTTGATGGTCGGATGATTGTTGACTCCTGGGGATGGGAATAGTTTATCAGGGAGGTCGCTCTCTTTGGGGGACCAGGGCTGGGGTTCAAGGGCTCTCGAGGGTAGTAGAAATTCACTGTCTGCATGGGCAAACCTATTATCACATTTGGATGCTTGTAGACGATCGACGAGTCTCGGTAGAAGATCGAGGTATTGAGTCTCGGTAATTTTCTACGATTTTTCATTTTTAGTTCTGTGTAGAATGAACTGAGGGTGAACCAGTTATACACAGCGGGGGCTGAAATTAAATTTTCATCAAACTTTTCTCTTCGCAATTAATTGTATAATCGAACTATAATCGAGAATATTTTTTCGAATACATAATTGCCAAGATGAATCTATAATTAATAAACATTTTAGTGACGTCATAATTTCTCAACGGGCTCTAATAGACTTGCTAAAATTTTGCATTAAAAAATTGATTGATAGCGTAAATGTAAGATGTGCAAGTTAAATTACCAAGTGTCGCAAATTTGTGGATAAAAAATTCGCACAATAAATAAAAAGACAGATGATTCTGCAGGTACAAGAGGACAACAACCACGAAGACAATAATTTCCAGGACGAAGTTCTTGACAGCACTCATCGCCAACCAGGGAACCAGTAATCTTTCCCGGCATAAAGTTAAAATTGGATAGAAGTTTGCGATGTAAGTTGCTGTGTACAGGTGGGCTATTATCATCCGCGTCATCACGACCCACTTCAGGACTAGTAATTAAGTGTAATCAGGGGACACAATATATTTCTTTATAGGTCTTTTTTATTGCTATATCGCTGGGTTTAATCGGCTCACCGGTTTTAACGCACTCCTCGTAGTTGGGAGTAGCGTTTTCCGGGGATAATGGCAATTTCGAGATTTCGACGACCTGGTGCTGCCAATCGAAGTTCAGCCAATCCCGTACGCTATTTATCTGGAAATTTTAGCGGTTGAGAAGCTTGAGGGCCCATTTCAAATTTCAATTTTGCGTAATATCTCGGCCTCTGACTGGAATTGCGCAATTTTTGTGGGGAATTTTTTGTAGATCATTGCGAGAGCTGGCGAAAATTCTATACATAAATTTGGCTATCCCCGGTAGATACCGAGATATTGAGCAAAAATGGAGATTAGGCAGTCGGGAAAAATGATTAACTCACTACGCCTAAGGAATTCATAATTGCGAGGTCTCCCTGCTGCGAGAGTACTCCTGATAAATGACAATAAAATTTCAAAACCAGCGATACAAATACCAGGAATATCTTGGTTCTTGGGATTTCGAATTCTCCCACTCCGTCTTCCATAAAAGAGTAAAATGTTAACTTGTGTAATTTGAAGCTTGCGAATTTTGATATATTTTTTCAATGTGTCAAAAAAGATCAAGGTTCAGCCATTGTGAACGATCCTCGATTGTTTGGGATTATTTTCTGGAGGGATTCAGAACTGGAATAATCAAAACGACCAGCGAAAATTTTCAACAACATTAATTGTCACAACCATCGTTTACATCACACTTTTAGCTTGAAGTAGGAAGCAACAAATATTCGGAGTATTTTATTTAAATTCTCAGTGGTCGAAATGCTGATAGCTTTTCTGTTGTCTTTGGAGGTGTGCCAGAACTTCGGAAAGGGACTTGGAATCAAGTGGAGAATAGGCACATCTGTAATTATAAAAAATAATTTCATGAGCAAAGCAAAAATACAAATCAAGATTGATTTTTATCAACTACTCATTTATCTTTAAAAATACTGCTTTGAGGTGAAAACATTAAACGACTTTTTTGTAGCTGATTAAAATAATTGAGGATTAAAGGTAGATTCTTTTCACTTACTTCTGGTCACAAATGGAATGTGATCGTCTTCAACACCGCCATCAATGGAATATGGCTGGAAGTAGGTTTGTTTCGGGCGATTACAAGAAGAGTTAACGAACAAGTTTAAGTTCCCCAGGTGCTTTTCTGCATTCATGAGCTGATGGTACCATTTCTCTGTATTGTCGAAATAGTTGTAGAATTTGGGATCTGGAGCACCGAGCAGATCCAATAGCACCAGTAGATCCTGAAAATCATTCCATCTTACATCCCCGGATCTTCAAATACTCCTCATTTATTCATGTGAATCTCTTCTTAATAAATAATCGATATGGCGAACAATTCCATTATATAATGTCAGTCAGCATGCAAATATCAAATATCAAAAAATAATATTGCAGATCCGTCCTCGTGAATCAATTAGGCAGTAAAAAATTAACTCACTATTTTATCCAGATCTGTAATATCTGATTCACTCCCAATCGTGTTAATCTTCTCGTGCCACTTCTTGGCTAGATGTCGAGATCCATAAATGGAATCTGTGGGTCCCCAAGTCTGGAAAGCTTCCTCTCCATCAAAAAATATAAACATGAAGCTCAAATTTGTCTGGAAAAAAGAAATTGACAAACAATTTTCAAAATCTATAATTCCCTTTACTCGTACATTTTCCTTTCATTTAAGAATTAAATAAACGAATGACTCAAACCCTTTTTAGTGGCTCTAGGTATGTTTTCATGACTGCAGCTAAGTTCATCATCTGAGCACACGGGACTGCACTGTCAGTTGCCCCCACGAAGTCGCCTTCTCTCGTGTATTTTGAATCATAATGGCATGCCAACGTTAAGTATCTCTGTGCACCGCCATTTAATTTAGCAATAATATTTCGGAACGGTAATCTCCCTAGATTGGGCGTGGTCGCCTTGAATTCGTCAACTTCTGTGGACCATCCCAGATTGTCCATATAATTCTTTATGTACTGGAGAAAAACGAAATAAATGACATCAGCAATGAAATGAAGCAATACCCGGAAGAGAATATTATCGTTTAAGTTCAAGGGTATTATAGTGATCCAGTACTATTTTATTCGCAACCAAAAGATAGTGACTCTTGGATCGGAATTCCCCTCATTCTATGTCAGGAGCGTAGTGATGAAGTGAGATAATTATGGGATTAGAATTTTTTTTTAATTTCCCTTTTATCTTTAAGACTATGAATTTAAGATGGAGACACTATAAAGCGTTTTTATAGCCGATTAAATTCCCGACAAAAATACCTCCTGAAGATTCTCCCACAAACGATAGTTTTCGGATCAATCAATATTAAAAAAAAAACTGTAAAATCCACTCATCTCACTTGTACTCCTCAATTTAAAGACTTTTCTCCGTGTAATTACTTGCATAATTGAAATAATCAGCTACTGAATTCCAATTATCTAATAGAACAATAAAAATAACTGAAAGTGAAAATAGATCACGTACATCCCCAACTTCTGTATGCTTAGGTGTTCCCACAACCCTGACAACACAGATTTCATCCAATATTTCATTCAAATTCGTTGTGTTTGACAGCTGTGACACCAGTTCCACTTGCTTATCACTGAGAGAGCTTGCCTCGTGGAGTAACTACAAAAAAAAAATTATAAGAAATACATGAATAAAATATTTTTAAAAACGTGGAGAGGCATTATGAAAATTCAGCAGTTGATGAGATTGATCTGTAGATGAATTTCATCTCACCTTCTGACTACGAAATGAGTGGATGGCGGTATTCTGCGCAGCTGCAAGATTCCATAGTACTACAGCAACGAGGATAAAATTAATGCAACCTCTCCGCATGTTTCTTCCTTATAACCAGTCAATGGTTTTGTGCCAACTGAATCCACTTCCGACACCACCCGCTATAAATCCCACTCTCTATTCCTACGTCACCCAGAGCATCGCTCTGCCAAATGTCAACAACAATAATCCAATGGCCGCCATTTTGGTACCTCCAAAGAATGCGCCGGCGCAGACGCGCACGCGTAGATGTGCTGCAGACGAATTGTTGACACCTGTGGCTGTTGTGGCTTATACCTTTCACCATGGACCTCATTTTCTAGTCACTCATTAAGAACCAGACTATTTTTACCATCTCCCAGAGAATTATTTCACATTAAGCGAAGTCTTGACCTTTTTAAATATGCGAGTGATAAAATCATGGGGAAATTTGCAAATTTCAATGAAAAAAGTTGGTGTTCTCGACACGTGAAAGAGGTTTCTCTCATCATGAAGGAAAATTGCAGGATAATGAAGATTATTTGAATTATGAAGTGAACTATTTTTTCTCGATATTTCTTTCTCGAGCGGAATAATTTAAATAATTCAAGTGCTTGGGAGACTCATGTCTGAGGTATGATTGGGCTTCCGGTGAAATTGTGAACCCCGACAAATTTGTCGAGTACGAAATTTCACGAAAATTATTTACCACACGCAGAGCTGAATGACGTTTAACGAATGTGATTGCAGTCATTCCCTACGACAATTTTGTTGATTTTCCAATTAGTACATTCAAGTAGTATTCTAGTCAAGATTGCTCATCAGTTATGATTATTCAGAGACGAGTCCAAGCAGTTAATTAAATTTTCTTTCTAGTCCTCGTAAAGCTGAAAATGAGAGATAAGGTTTTTAGAATTATGTGATTTGAAATTAATGCTCATTTCTTGAACTACGACATCTGTCGTTCGGTCTCGTCAATATTAAAGTACTTGAAGTCTCCGTACATCCGAAATGGTAAATTGATCGATTTACTCAAGCGCAAAATATCTCATGAATATTCAGTATCCACCTCTTCAGTAAATTTAAGTACAAGGCACTTTATCCTAAACTTACTCACCTGTGAACACAATGAAAAGATAATACTTTCTTGCACGAAAACATGAAATTCAATATTTTTCGTTTTATTCTCAAGATAACTTCTCTATACACAATGTCTTTATCTATTATCCACTTCAATGAATACAAAACAACTCACTCAATTCCAATAGCAATCTGGTAAAATAAATGGAATCGAATTCAAAGTTCAAATCGATTTGAAAGCATTAAAGAACTGTTTCTGTCGGCGATTGTATTCCGAAAAATGCTCTCTTGAATATTTTTCCTAAAATCAATATAAATCAAAACAATAAAATTCGATTCATCTCACTTTACCAGGTCTCTCCCTCACTGATTAAAAAAATGAGTACAAATAAATCAAACTACCCTAATGTTAAAATAATCATTACCTAACCGGTGCGACGTCCGAATTAATGAGTAGTTGGAACTCTGGCACCCTAATATAATTCCCTCCCTCAAAATTTAGTAAATAGTCAAATGAAAACAATAACGGATTACATAACGCATGAAAATTTTCTCGCCAACTTGCGCAATGAAACTACATACTTTTGAGCAATGAGAGTCGAATCGAGGATAACTAATTAATGAATAATCCAGTAAGAATTATCAGGTAATTAATTAACCATCAATAAGAGATTGAAATTAGTGTCACGTGAAGGAGACACGAACCAATCCCTCGTAGTTATCCCCTCAGAGCATTATAAATATCAATAACACATCGAGAAACTCCACGTTCTTACAAATATACATAGGAATATAAAAAATTGTCGTAGATTTAACTCGTTATCGTGGAGCCCTCCGAACACTTATTTGTAGTTTTTTAATAGTATTGTTTAGTCAGTTCGAGTCTCCCTCTTCGTTAACGAAAGTTTGCCCTGGGACATCATCACCGAGGTCGTTTCGTGTTATTTTTATTTCTCCTCGTTGTAAATATTGCAAAATTCTTCCTCATTGAATTCAGGTTTTCTCCTCAGTAATTATATGGCCCGTATTGCGAGCCGTGATAGTAAGGGCCAGGATATGCTGCGGGTGCTGGGTATCCGGCATAAGCGTACTGCTGTTTTTGTGGGTAAACTGAAAATTTATAGAAGAATACGTTAAATCAATGATAATAAAGGATAACAATAGCTTATACTTGTCTAGGAGCTACAGGCAGAGTCGTGGAATTTATTGTACACATTTTTGATTCAATTCCGATCTTTTTTTAATTTATTTTAATTTTCTTATATTCTCGATAAATTCTTCAAGCATATCCATGGATTATAACTATTTTTTGTGATTAGGTTATTATTTCAGAATAAGACACAGACCATTTTAAGATTTTATAATTATTAAATAATAATAAAACGTAAAAACAGAATATTTTTTCACGTCAATTTTATTAACGCTCTTAGCAATTTGTAAAAAACTTGAAAACGGTAAAATATCGGTCATAACTCCTTGAGTAACGAGAAATTGAAAAATAAAATGAATTCTCACGCTATTAAAAACTTTGGAGATGCAATTAATTTCAAAAGTCTCAGAACTCGCAGTCTAATCTACACTGGGAAAATATTTTAAAATGTTAAATGGAAAAAAATGTGTCTTTTGGATATCCTTAAAGGTGAAGAGAACAATTGACTTGTCCTGTTATGGTTCATTTATCCACAACGATTATTCCCCTGAAGATTTATTTTTCAATCCGCGTGACACGATTTTAACCGGAAGCTGGAACAGCCGAGGAAGAACATTGTGGATCGGTTCAATTACATTGAATTACATCGCATGAGTATAATTCATGGGAGATAGCATATGGGAGTACTAGCCATTCATTTGGGCGAGTGTGCCACTTTCCATTTGGTTCACACAACCCTCAGTAAATGCCAATGTATTATTTTACATTCCGGCATTGAATTACCGACGATCGAATAAAAAAATGTTGTGATGAATTCGATCAATCGTGCGCAAACGGAGACGATGTAGAAAGTCTCTTCCCAGAGTCAGAGCGTAACAAAATTACACTAATTCAGGGTAAACAGAGCGTAGGTGCGGCTTGGAATTACACACCTCGCTAAAAAAAATTATCGAAATGTTTTTTGTTCAAATTCTTCGAAAAATTGCGGGAATCATTTTTCGAATTTTCCTTATGATGCCAATATAAATTAAAAGAAAAAAACTTGATTGAGAATTATTGAAGATTTGATTTTAAAAATTCGCTTTGTTTTCAAAAATGATCCGGAATTTGATTTTTTGAAAAATTCTGTAATTTTGTATTTTTTTCCCAGAAAATGTTCCAAAAATTATCCCGCAGCTTCCGGAATTTTTCAAAGATTTTTGTCAATTTTTATCTAAAAAATTTTCCAAAACAATTTTTGTTTGACAAAAAACTTTCCCTAAAAGTTTTTCAAACACTTTCCACAGATTTCCGGAATTATTTCCCTGTAATAAAATTGTTTTATCCAGGCATCGTTAATAG